CACCCACCAGTGGCCACAGCCTCCCCCTTCCGCACACAGACAACTCTCACATAGGCTTTTTGGGAGGGAAACAGGGAGAAATCCAGGAGCACCAGACCGACGTGGTGGTGCCGCCTGACCGACGGGCCTGCGCTGCCTGAACTAGTTCCTCTGGGGGCAGCCAGGACGCTTCCATGGGCACTGGGCGATGGCTCTGGCCGCGCGTCCACAGGCACTGGGATGCACATTCAGGTCCCACCGTGAAGAAACCAGGCCACGCACTCTCCTGAGGAGTTATTTCTAGCCACCAGGAGGAAAAGGGATAGCCAGCTTCTCCAAAGGATTCATTTCCTTAGCCTGCGCTGGCCTGTAGCGGTGCAGAGGCCTCCCAGCAAGGCTGGGTTTGACCGCGGCGTCAGAGAGCAGATGCCGACACGCTGCCCAGCGTGGCCGCCCGAAGACGAGGCGTGGGTCCCTGCCCACGTATGTAGGAACCCTCTGTGGCCAGCTGACCTGCTGTGTTCCCTGCTGCGACGGCTGCCTGCCCGCCCGAGTCAGCGCCAGCCCCAGCTAACCCCACGTGTCGGACCCTGCTCCGGCTCCGCGTGATGCCAAGGTCTCCAGCAGCCTCCACACCAAGGTCAGCGTTGCCCAACCTCCCCTTGGGACACAGTGCTCCAGGTGATCAGCCTGCACCCCGTTTCTTTGCTCAAGCCCCCAGAGTTTGCTGTAAAGGAGAATATTCCCTTGTCCCCATCCCAACCTGCCTCTCACAACAGTTGGAAGAGGCCCTGCCTTTCCCACTCCTTCAGTGTGTACGGCAGCACGGCATGGCTCTGTGCGTGCGTGTGGTGCAGCTCTGCGCAGGTGAGCACACAGCTGGGGCAGAGGAAAAAAATGAAACTAAATCCAGCCTGGAGGCTGGCATGGATCAGCGTCTGCTCACGCACAGTCTGCAGCAGGATCTGATACGTGGCCAGGCCCCCTAGCCGAAGGGCCTACAAGGAAGCTGGGGGGTACTTTTTACAAGGGGCTGTAGCAACAGGCCAAGGGGTAATGGGTTTAAATTGAAAGTGGGGAGGTTTAGATTAGATATCAGGAAGAAGTTCTTCCCGGAGAGGGTGGTGAGGCACTGGAACAGGTTGCCCAGGGAAGCTGTGGATGCCCCATCCCTGGACGTGTTCAAGGCCAGGCTGGATGAGACTTTGAGCAACCTGGTCTAGTGGAAGGTGTCCCTGCCCATGGCAGGAGGGTTGGAACTGGATGGTCTTTAAGGTCCCTTCCCACCCAAACCATTCCATGATTCTGTGATTCACTTCCGTAGGAGCCGTGTGAGCATTCTGCGAATTGGGGCGGTCTCGTTTTCCCAGTGGCCGGTAACGAAGGCGCTGAGCGCTGCTGGCAAGGAAAGATTAACCACGCTGCAGCAGAACGGGCTTGATAGGTTTTATTGGCAATACTCATGTTGTACTCGGGAACCACAACCTTTTGTCAGACTGTTAGTGTTAACTTGCATGACAAGTATCGGTGACCAACTGTACGTGAAATATAGTTAAAGTGCCTAGAAATAATAGGCATCTTAAGGAAGAAAGAAAAAAAAAAGGAAAGGGAACTCATTCCATCCACTCAAGCCAACCTTTATGGATCTTACATCCTAAGCCCAACCCATGTACAGTAATTGTTATGTGGACTTCACTGTAACCTCTACAGCAGCACACAGACGATGCAGTTCTCTCGTTATGCACATGCTTTAGGATCATTTATTTTAATGCTTTCAAATAAATATGTTCCATGCAGCACACCGCAATAAATAAGGAGCAGCAGCTTTCGTATAGTACATCCATTCATAATGTAAGTCACCATGTGAAACACCACATCTAACGTCTTTGGCCCAGCCCCATCCAGTGAAGCACGGCACATCTGCACATAATCATATCTGGCTTCATATGGCTTTAATAGGCCTGTGCCAGAAGGGCAACGTGAGCACAAGTTTAACCGGGGGTTCCTAGCTATTAAATACAGCTACTAAGTAGTTAAAAGGCAACAACTAAACCCATAAAGGGTTGATTTGTCTTCTTTCTTACTTTTCAGACAGAAATATAAAGTATGAAAATGCTCTGGATATTTTCAGCCTTGGGTAAAGCAGCGGGATTAATATGGAATGCTCGGAGCAATACTGGCACGTACAGGGGCATCGAAAGCCACGGCGAGACCGACTCTGACACTGAACAGCGGCGTACTCGGCAGGGGAAAGCTGCTCGGCGGGCGGCGGGCGCTGCTCCTCCTCTACGCCGACAGCTCCACCGCCCCTTCCTCCTCGCTGTCTGCTCGGTTGGCGCGGATCTCCACCAGGGTCCGAGCGAAGCGGGTCCATTCGTCGTTATGCGGAACAGCCAGCTGGGGGAGAAACCCACAGGGCATTAGGGGACGGGGCGGGGAGACCAGTTACCTCCCTGGCTCAAACCCAAGGCACCTCCTTGGCGGGGAGCTTGCTGGAGCGTTGTTGCAAAACCACCTCTTGGTTAAAATACTCCAGGTTCTCCACAGCACAGAAAAGGAGGGCGAGGGCTCCATCCCTGCATGTACGCACCCGTGTGCTTCACCTCACGTGCGGGAGCCAGCGAGGCTCTGCCCAGGCGTCACCGGTTTGCGGGGCCGCGGTCGGTGTGGCAAGGCAACAGAGCTTTTACCGCACTACTGGAACGTCCTTCCTGCAGGTCAGTAAAGCTCTTCACAGCAAAGTAAAGGCGCCGTGTTGGTTTAGTCCCCCTCCTCTGCGTTAAGGCATTCACCGTTACAAGAAATGCACTCTAATGGACCGGCCGCAGGACTGGTCCGACTGTTACATCGTGGTGCAAGAGCCACTTCCATTGGACAGCACTGATGCTCCCAGTGAAGAGCTCTTGGACTTCAAGGGGGATGTGTAATCTAACAGCTAAACTTCCAGACAAAACGCCGTAGTGCTATGGCAAAACAATTCTGCACTCATTCCCAGCTGGATCCAACACCGTGATTTGTGGGAGATAATGCAAGCTGGGGTTGAGAGAATTGAAAAGTAACAGGGGAAGCAGTTTTCTGAAACTTTGTTTTCATTAAATCCAATTCTGGAAAATGGCAACAAGCATCCAGGTGAACCAGGCATGTTTTTACCACCCCCCCGAAGCCCTGTGATTGCATCCTGAATATAATATGAAACAAATAACCATTTCAAGATCTGATGCTGCACTTGGGACTGAAGAAGCTGTCGGGAAACCGTGGAGCGTCTGACCAACTGCTATCCAGCCTGGCAAACAGGTGCCTTTAGACTAAAGGAGGAGTATGACCTCAGCTAATCCGGGCTGTGGCACCCTGCACTCAGCCTGAACCGACTGCCTTCTCTTAACACGCCACCGAACCCGCCATGCGGACGGCGGGCTGCCTGCGTCCACATGGCACCGGCAGATGCCAGGTGCGCCGGAGGCCGCGTGGCATGCCGTAGCGGAAAACGGCCAGATTATTCTGCTCTCCTTACTGCCCAGCGTGTAACCGGAGACAAAGAAGAGGATCTATGCCATGAAATACCGAGCCCAGCTGGGGAAAGAGCTTGTGTTGGTGCCCAACAGCACCGGCGTGCGAGAGCTCCACGTAAGCTGCTGCAAGCTCAGTGTGGATCGCGCGGGCAGGAACTCGCCATGTTGGGTCAAAGTATCTCCTCCGTATCTCGCTAGCGCCCATGAGTTTTTCAGCTGCTTTGTACCTAGCTTTGCCTCTGCATCCAATCGTTTGGGGAAAAACAGTGCGTGTTTTAAATCTCCCCGTGTACCGTGCACGTATCACTGACTCGGTTACATTATGAAGGGCTGATGTACAGCAAGTTTGGGGTTTTGGCCCGTCGAAACACTAAATATAGTACAGTTCAGCATTTACTGAGGGTACGGACCGAGAATGCAATCTGTGTGAAAGCCATCTCAGCCCTCAATAATGGCTGTCACTGCTCTCTCTGGGTTTTCCCTTCCATGTCTTCCACTTCGTGTTTCTCTCCTCCGCTTTTCCCAGGAACGGAGACCGGAGTTACAGGTGTAAATCATTCGAGACAGCTGTCTCTCAGGCTCACACGCACAGATGCGCATCTGTTATGGTCTTTTGTGTGAAAGGCAGCTCTGCTCTTTCAAAAACCTTCTGCAGAAGGAAACGCAACGCGGAAACGGCAGCCAGCGCACCAAAACACATGTACCCATAGCACAGGTTTGGCCACAGCCACACCCCTACACACGCTACCCTACAGTGAGCTGAGGGATCCTTCTGTCACGGGTGCATCCCAAACCAGCTGCACAGCACCTTCCCTGTTACTGCTACTTGTGCCCTAAAATATGCGCACGGCTCTATTGTCTATCGAACTCTTGGGTGAAAACATAAAATGAGTCTCACTTATTCCATGTCGCAAAATCATTAAAGTGGAACAATATCCTAGGCAAAGAACTTACAATAAAGCCTCGTTTCGTCCTTCCAAGTCCTAAGCAGCATTACGTTGTATAACATGGCTGAAGACGACAGTATGTCGTTCTAAAGGAAACAGTGAAATACATTCATGACGTTGAGATCGCTTCCTTTCCTTTACTCCGCAGCATGGCCACAGACAAACAAAACCCAAGTCCAGCCTATTAACGCAACTTGGTATCTCAAACGGGAAGCCGCCCCACAAAGGTGCGTGGCACGTACATGCAGCACTGTTGGCTGACACCGTTAGCAAGACCTGGGCTGTTTTTAATGACTCGTTTCACAAAACAATTAGTTACTGAAGTGGATACCTTTAGCACAGAGATAAAAACATTCAGTGACCACTCACAATCTGATTACTTAGAACTTCATCCTATTTTATCTTATTTAATCTCACGCGCTGCTTCGTGCTTTCAACGAAGGGCGAATCCTGCTAACAGGCTGTTGGTAGAATAAACCTTTTTAATAGAAATCCCTCAGGGATGCAGAGGGAAACCTTGGCAACAATGGAGCCAAAGGAAAAACTGACTTTTATTCCCCCCTCCTCTTCTTTCTGTGAAGGCCCTAACACCAAACCACAACAGTTATACAGCAAAGGACCACAAACAAAACCAAAAGCCTCCACAAACTCCAGTTCAAGTTCCTGTCTGAATTAACCATCCCTTCCAGTAATTTTCCATTCAAGTTCCTTCAGCCAGGCACACTGACACCCGCGAGTGCTGGAGCCCTGGGTCTGCCTGTGGAATTTCCCTTTCAGCTTCCCAGCACACGCTTTTTCTGTAAACAGCAGGGCAGGGGTGGAAGAAACGGGGAGCCACTTTGCAGAGGAAGGGCAGAGGTTTAGAGCTATCCAGGTGTTCCTCAAGCGTTTGGCCTCGTTGCCGTTTTCCTGTCTGCTCCCAGTTCCTAAAAAGCAGGACCCACCGTGCTGGGCCCCAGCAGTCATGTCGGCGACGCAGGGTAGCAATGTTCACCAAAGCGTAATAACTTTGTAATACCTTATATTGACATTCGGGTCAGATGGTTATTTAAACTGACACTGAGGTGTGAAGCAGGACAAGAAAATAAATGCTGCAAAGTGTTGTCCTTTGATCCCTTCACAATGGAAGGCAAGCACTACCCACACCTAATTAACTGACGGAATTACGCCGCTTTAATTTAAGCACCACGGTACATTTAGGTTGCGTCAGATAGTAATTCTGATGAGGCAAACCAGTATTATCGAAGCAAGGTGCTGACTTCTGCCAAACTTTGTCTGTTAAGCTGTAGGAAGAGGGGGACTTTTGTCTTCTGTCTGGCTTTTAAAACGTCAAAAGGCTGCAAGCCTACCTGCAAGGTGTGACCACAAGTTTACACGTCCGACTAAGCCTGCTTCTGCTTGTGAAGTTGCACGTGCTCAGCTGGTCACAGGAGTGAGAGTGTAGTACAGGGAAACATCTCAAGATGTTAGGATGGGGACCATTTTTGATTGAGGGGAAGATATTTAACTCAGGACAATTGGGGTCTCTCACTTCTCAAAAAATATCGAAGTTTTCTTTATATCACTGTCAACTTTTTAGATCTCCTCCCCCAATTCACATTCATAAAAGATCCTTCCAAAAGCACTCTGTGACTATCTGTAAGTGCTTCCAACATGATCAATAACGTATAACAACAAAGACATGAAACCTTCTAAATACTGGACACATTTCAGATTTTATCATTTAAACTGGTTCACAAACAGTTGTTCTTGATGATATTAGACTGATTTACGTGCTGCGAATTCCCAGAATTAATTTTCCCACCACCTCCATCGCTATGATTTTAGATAAGCCCGCCATCTTTGGATAAGCAAAGAGAACTCTCCAGCACACTCCTCCCGGGAAGAAGGGAGCTGGAAAAGGGGGCAGCCTCCCTGGGCAGCACCTCGCAGCCAGCAGCCTACAGACCCCACGCAAAGCGAGCCCAGTGGAGCCCCCAGACTGAGACCGGCGGCGTGCTGCACAGGGGGGCTGATACACTGCAGCCACGATTATTATTAGGCACCGGCGAGAGGGATTGGCAGCTTCAGCAAGCCCAGGGTGGCCTCCAGACAGCCACACTAAAGAGGTTTCTGCCTATTCCTGCGAGGCATTACAGTTGTCAGTTTATCTTATACCGACCAATACCATTATAGCTATGGGAATCTTTCCCAGCCTGTGCTTCCCCTCTCCACCATTACCTACAGACACCCAAGGAAAACAACTCCCGACTGGACCGAACAGACTACAAAGGGTCTACAAAGCGAGATGACGGGATGCAACAGCAAAAGAAAGGATTGTAAACCGGGAGCTGAGATCTCCCCGTCCTCTTGTTCTCCTCCTTCCCATCTGCTAGAGGTGGCTGGTTCCTGGCTGGCTAGAAGCCCCTGGTCTCTTCACCCTCTTCTTTTTTGGGTGATAATGCATTGAGCTGCACTTTTAAGACTGGAGAGGATCTAACCAACATGTAGATTTGGAAAGAAGGGATTTGTCTAGCTGGGCCACATAGTTTTAACCACAGTAGGTCCCCCTAGTTCACTTTTCAGTCATGGGCTTACAGCAGACTTTGAAGCCACAAGGCTTGTAAAGTTCAAAGGTAAGATGTTTCCCACTCGTGCCTATTCTCCACTGAAGATAAAGGATAGAATGGCCAGACCCAAGGAAAATGACCACCAGGATCTTCCTGACAAGCACTGGCTTTGCCTTGCTGCTGTGTCACAATGCTAGGTGGCTCATGCAGTGCACGACAGAACTGTATCTCACAGTGCCACCACGGAGCCCTTGGATTTTTGAATCTTTGGAAGCTTCTCTGTGTTTCCTGTGTGACCACTCTAGCCAAGAACTTCCCTACCTGTCAGCTTTCCAGCCCTGAAGCGCAAACATGTGCCCGCCTCCATGCTAGTACTGACCAAGGAGATGGTT